CACTAAACAAAATAACCGTCCTCCCCCAAAACTTCACTGCCTGATTCTTTTTAAAACAACCACACCCCTTTCTCTCTCTTCTAACCAACCTATTCCTCCCTAGTGTGCCACGTCACCCTTCCTAGTCTTTTTTCTCTCATATACTCTACCCCATCTATTCTTGATCTTTTCTTCTTGAATCAAGGTCTCATTCAGCCCAATAAAGTTTTTGGGTTTGGTTATTCTGCGAAATAGATTTATAAACTGAAGTTATTTTTCTGACTCAACTGTTAGGAACTGTTACATGTTTCCTTTGTCATCCTACTCAATCTCCTGCTTCAGCTGTCTTATTCTTTCCAGTTACATGTGTGTGTGTATATATTTGTATATGTATGTGCATGGATGTATGCATGTGTGTATATATACCTATGTATCATCATATATATATATATATATATATATATATGCATACACATATACACGCATATATTGTGTTCTATCCGCATACTGAGTTGCTATATGTTCTCTTTGGCTGCAAACTTATTTTCCAGGGTTAAGTGGTGGTTTTGACAATGTTGCTAATTTCCAAGTCCAAAGAAATCCGTTCTTGGCTTGGACCTCTAGATTAAGTTCCTTCAGTGACAATTTTATTTACTAGAGTATTTTGTTTCAGTTCACAATGAGGATGGTGGTGAAGATATTCCGGAAGAAGAAGCTGTTTGTCGAATTTGTATGGTTGAACTTGGAGAAGGTGCTGATACTTTTAAATTGGAGTGTAGCTGCAAAGGTGAGCTTTCATTGGCACATAAAGAATGTGCAGTCAAATGGTTTACCATTAAAGGTAATAGAACATGTGATGTGTGCAAGCAAGAGGTTCAGAACCTACCTGTCACTCTTTTACGAGTTCAAAATGGTCAGACCCATAACATACTGGGGTCAGACGCTTCTCATTACAGGTATCATAACTTTTTATCAATTTTAGTGGTTTCATAATTCTTTTGGGATTTCGAGGAAGCTTAACTTCTTTTAGCCCTCTCTGGTTTTCTTTCAGTATGTTTTCCACCATGGTACAACTGAACTTACGCAAGTTTTTTATAGGGTTTGGCAGGATGCTCCCGTTCTTGTTGTTATCAACATGCTGGCTTACTTTTGTTTTCTTGAGCAGCTTCTTGTAAGTTTAACTACTGCTAGATAATATATTCCCTTTAGCCAATTTGAATTCCTGATGTTATCAATGGACAGGTGTCTAATATGGGATCCGGTTCTATTGCCATGTCTCTCCCATTTTCATGTATATTGGGTCTTCTTGCGAGCATGACAGCAACAACAATGGGTAGAGCTTTTTCTACTTTTTCTACTTTTCCTCCTTTGTTATTATATAATATAGAACTAATTCCTCCAAAATTTTTAGTGAGGAGAAATCATGTTTGGATTTATGCAACTGTTCAGTTTTGTCTGGTGGTTCTTTCTGGGCATCTTTTCTTTTCATTGGTAAGAAATTCCTTTTGAAACCATAGTTACAGGACATTTTTGTGTTGTGCTATGTTTTGTATATGCATTCAAATAAAAATGAATTGTAGTGATCAAAATTTGTTAGAGCCATGATCGATGAGCTAAATGTTTAGGATTTCAACATGTTAGCCTTCAATTTTAATGATAGAGAACTAATTAAATTTGCATATTCAAAATATTTCTAATGTCATGTATTTTCATACATTTGAGAGGGCAGATTCATATGCAAGCTGTTCTTGCTATCCTACTAGCTACACTTACTGGGTTTGGAGTTGTAATGTGTGGAGCTTCTATTCTTATGGAGATTTTAAAGTGGAGGAGGAGATCCCTTGCTCAGTCAAATCAACAGCAAGGTTCCCAAGATGCGGTGCCACCAGATCAATCATCTACAGTTGCACATCAACCTCAGACTGGTTCTGAACAAATTGAAAGCAATTTAGGAGAGTCTTCTCAACAGAGGAGTTGACAGAATATTGGCTTAAACATATTTGGGTCTCTAAAATATGACCTTTTTCTATTTTAATGTCCATTTAAATTTTAATTATTTTTGGTCCCTACATTTAATACGAGTAATACGTTTTTACTCCCTTACAAGCTCCATCAAGTATAAAAAGCACATTTAAAAAAAAAAAAAATCAATGAAACAGTTTTTACTTTTGGAACAACAGAGGTTGTATTTTCAGGACCAAAAATATGTTTAAGCTATTCGCTGAAAGCTGACCAGGCATCATAAAGGTATCGGGTTGTATATAATGTGCATATTGTATAGACAAGTTTGGGCACACTGAACTCTTGTTTTCCTTTCTGATGCCATGATACATACAGGATAGACATGGATCATGTATGGCATGATTGGCATCCATTGTTCCATCTCTCATAAAACCATAACAATACTTGTGCGAGAATTGCTTGATGCAAAGTTGAAGAATGGTTGATTTTATGCTACAATAATGGTTGAAGTTTTACATTCCAATTTTTGGCCATATATACAGTATATGATTTAGACTTCCCATAGAACCCAGAAAGTGGCAAAAATACACTGAATTCGTTGCCATTCTTTTACTGCAATGTGGTTGTAAATTTGACATAGACAAGAGCGAAAAGACAAACCAAATGTAGGTAAATTATCATTTTGGCTCTTAAAAGTGAGAAAACCAATGATGACTTAGTCTTTGAAAGAACAAAAACTTTAATATAATTCCTGGATAGAAAGTGTGATGATAATATCTTGTTATTATGAGACCATGTTATTACTGATATAATGCTAAGAACCAATTTGACACTAATGTGCATATGAGTCAGTTTAACATGATTAAACTATGAAGTTTAGAGACAAATCTGTGGTTAAGTTGTAAAGTAAAACATATTTACATATTTGAGAAGTAAATAAAACCTTGAGATTTTTCAAAAAGCAAATTACAGAGTATTTTCAGGAACTAGCATGTTGATTTGCCAAACCATATTAAGATAATTGTGAAATTTAATATCTGTAGATTGGAGTCGTTTTCAAGAAGGTGGGTGAAAGGAACTGGTGCTACATTCTTTTAATGTGAATTGAAAGGCAATATGTGAAATGGTTGAAAATGAACTAATAATTGGGTGGCACATCATGAGGGAGTGGCCATGTTTTGAGGAAGTGCCACTTCTTTTGATTCTATCATTGGCTGCGTACCCAGAAGCCTTTATGGGATATATGACCCTCTCCACTACGATCGCCGTACCACCGTCCTCGTTGTCATCGTTGTCATATCATAAGTTTCAAAATCACCACATTAATATTAATTTTGACACAAGATCATATGATTTTGATTATTTCGACCAGACAACTGTTTTGTTTTCTAACACTTTTTTATTGAAATTTCTATATGTTATGATTTTTTTAAGTTGTTGATTTACTTCTTTTTTTTTCGTCGTGTGTATTGGGTGTCCGATCTCCTAATAAATAAGTCTAGCATTAAATAAAAAATAAGAAAATTAAACATATAAAAGAAGTTTCATAAACTAAATATTTAAAAATTTTAGTCAAAAAATTCCTAATTTTTAATATGAATTGGATTAATGTTATTGATGTTGGTTAAACTCATGTTGAATATATATAAAACTCATCAATGATATTTTTAAAAATAGACCCATCATCCATTGTCAATGTAACCAATGATATCTGAGAACACTGAAGAGTCAAATCAGTGGTGAATTGAATCTAGGGGCTCCATGTTCACTCCAGAAAACCATTCTGGTAAATTAGTAGGTAGTGTAAGAGTTGGATCAATTCCTGGAATTAAAGAAATAACAAGTTGATTTCTAAATATGCCAACCTTTTTCATTTTACTCTTTAAACATAGATTAATAGTATTCATCTTTTTTAATTTTAAAGTACAGCGAGGGTACCCTTAAACTCTTTCATGGACAGACTGTGTTTTAAACTGAATCGAAAATATAATTATTGAATGGGATGTAAGATCGTCTTCTGAGTTACAATACATTTGCTTAAAAATTATCAATTTTTTATTATTTCTCAATGTTTAAATTTAACATTTGTAGATAAAAACGCAGATAAAAAAAAGCTCATAATTTAGGTTGACATGTTAAATTATATTAATTTAATAATTTGTTCATGTAATTTAAAGAATAATTTTGATGTAAAGATTATAATGTGATGATAGAATATAAATGTATTAAAGTTATAGAGAATATTTTAGAGTTATTAAAATTAATCATTCTCTTCTGACTTTAAAAATGACATTTTTGGTATTTTATTAAAGTTAGTAAAATATCATAAAATAGGGACATGTTTTACTTTTGTTAATACGTTAAGTTTCTGAAAAGTGGGAGCAAAAGATTACGTTCTAAAAAAGATAGAGAAACAACGATTTTTGACAAAAGGAGACATCCTTGTAAGCAATTGTTAGAAAAGAAATGACTTGTTTCTAAAGATTACGTTCTAAAAAAGATAAAGAAACAACGATTTTTGACAGAAGGAGACATCCTTGTAAGAAATTGTTAGAAAAGAAATGCCTTGTTTCTCAAAACCAANAACCAACCTATTCCTCCCTAGTGTGCCACGTCACCCTTCCTAGTCTTTTTTCTCTCATATACTCTACCCCATCTATTCTTGATCTTTTCTTCTTGAATCAAGGTCTCATTCAGCCCAATAAAGTTTTTGGGTTTGGTTATTCTGCGAAATAGATTTATAAACTGAAGTTATTTTTCTGACTCAACTGTTAGGAACTGTTACATGTTTCCTTTGTCATCCTACTCAATCTCCTGCTTCAGCTGTCTTATTCTTTCCAGTTACATGTGTGTGTGTATATATTTGTATATGTATGTGCATGGATGTATGCATGTGTGTATATATACCTATGTATCATCATATATATATATATATATATATATACATGCATACACATATACACGCATATATTGTGTTCTATCCGCATACTGAGTTGCTATATGTTCTCTTTGGCTGCAAACTTATTTTCCAGGGTTAAGTGGTGGTTTTGACAATGTTGCTAATTTCCAAGTCCAAAGAAATCCGTTCTTGGCTTGGACCTCTAGATTAAGTTCCTTCAGTGACAATTTTATTTACTAGAGTATTTTGTTTCAGTTCACAATGAGGATGGTGGTGAAGATATTCCGGAAGAAGAAGCTGTTTGTCGAATTTGTATGGTTGAACTTGGAGAAGGTGCTGATACTTTTAAATTGGAGTGTAGCTGCAAAGGTGAGCTTTCATTGGCACATAAAGAATGTGCAGTCAAATGGTTTACCATTAAAGGTAATAGAACATGTGATGTGTGCAAGCAAGAGGTTCAGAACCTACCTGTCACTCTTTTACGAGTTCAAAATGGTCAGACCCATAACATACTGGGGTCAGACGCTTCTCATTACAGGTATCATAACTTTTTATCAATTTTAGTGGTTTCATAATTCTTTTGGGATTTCGAGGAAGCTTAACTTCTTTTAGCCCTCTCTGGTTTTCTTTCAGTATGTTTTCCACCATGGTACAACTGAACTTACGCAAGTTTTTTATAGGGTTTGGCAGGATGCTCCCGTTCTTGTTGTTATCAACATGCTGGCTTACTTTTGTTTTCTTGAGCAGCTTCTTGTAAGTTTAACTACTGCTAGATAATATATTCCCTTTAGCCAATTTGAATTCCTGATGTTATCAATGGACAGGTGTCTAATATGGGATCCGGTTCTATTGCCATGTCTCTCCCATTTTCATGTATATTGGGTCTTCTTGCGAGCATGACAGCAACAACAATGGGTAGAGCTTTTTCTACTTTTTCTACTTTTCCTCCTTTGTTATTATATAATATAGAACTAATTCCTCCAAAATTTTTAGTGAGGAGAAATCATGTTTGGATTTATGCAACTGTTCAGTTTTGTCTGGTGGTTCTTTCTGGGCATCTTTTCTTTTCATTGGTAAGAAATTCCTTTTGAAACCATAGTTACAGGACATTTTTGTGTTGTGCTATGTTTTGTATATGCATTCAAATAAAAATGAATTGTAGTGATCAAAATTTGTTAGAGCCATGATCGATGAGCTAAATGTTTAGGATTTCAACATGTTAGCCTTCAATTTTAATGATAGAGAACTAATTAAATTTGCATATTCAAAATATTTCTAATGTCATGTATTTTCATACATTTGAGAGGGCAGATTCATATGCAAGCTGTTCTTGCTATCCTACTAGCTACACTTACTGGGTTTGGAGTTGTAATGTGTGGAGCTTCTATTCTTATGGAGATTTTAAAGTGGAGGAGGAGATCCCTTGCTCAGTCAAATCAACAGCAAGGTTCCCAAGATGCGGTGCCACCAGATCAATCATCTACAGTTGCACATCAACCTCAGACTGGTTCTGAACAAATTGAAAGCAATTTAGGAGAGTCTTCTCAACAGAGGAGTTGACAGAATATTGGCTTAAACATATTTGGGTCTCTAAAATATGACCTTTTTCTATTTTAATGTCCATTTAAATTTTAATTATTTTTGGTCCCTACATTTAATACGAGTAATACGTTTTTACTCCCTTACAAGCTCCATCAAGTATAAAAAGCACATTTAAAAAAAAAAAAAATCAATGAAACAGTTTTTACTTTTGGAACAACAGAGGTTGTATTTTCAGGACCAAAAATATGTTTAAGCTATTCGCTGAAAGCTGACCAGGCATCATAAAGGTATCGGGTTGTATATAATGTGCATATTGTATAGACAAGTTTGGGCACACTGAACTCTTGTTTTCCTTTCTGATGCCATGATACATACAGGATAGACATGGATCATGTATGGCATGATTGGCATCCATTGTTCCATCTCTCATAAAACCATAACAATACTTGTGCGAGAATTGCTTGATGCAAAGTTGAAGAATGGTTGATTTTATGCTACAATAATGGTTGAAGTTTTACATTCCAATTTTTGGCCATATATACAGTATATGATTTAGACTTCCCATAGAACCCAGAAAGTGGCAAAAATACACTGAATTCGTTGCCATTCTTTTACTGCAATGTGGTTGTAAATTTGACATAGACAAGAGCGAAAAGACAAACCAAATGTAGGTAAATTATCATTTTGGCTCTTAAAAGTGAGAAAACCAATGATGACTTAGTCTTTGAAAGAACAAAAACTTTAATATAATTCCTGGATAGAAAGTGTGATGATAATATCTTGTTATTATGAGACCATGTTATTACTGATATAATGCTAAGAACCAATTTGACACTAATGTGCATATGAGTCAGTTTAACATGATTAAACTATGAAGTTTAGAGACAAATCTGTGGTTAAGTTGTAAAGTAAAACATATTTACATATTTGAGAAGTAAATAAAACCTTGAGATTTTTCAAAAAGCAAATTACAGAGTATTTTCAGGAACTAGCATGTTGATTTGCCAAACCATATTAAGATAATTGTGAAATTTAATATCTGTAGATTGGAGTCGTTTTCAAGAAGGTGGGTGAAAGGAACTGGTGCTACATTCTTTTAATGTGAATTGAAAGGCAATATGTGAAATGGTTGAAAATGAACTAATAATTGGGTGGCACATCATGAGGGAGTGGCCATGTTTTGAGGAAGTGCCACTTCTTTTGATTCTATCATTGGCTGCGTACCCAGAAGCCTTTATGGGATATATGACCCTCTCCACTACGATCGCCGTACCACCGTCCTCGTTGTCATCGTTGTCATATCATAAGTTTCAAAATCACCACATTAATATTAATTTTGACACAAGATCATATGATTTTGATTATTTCGACCAGACAACTGTTTTGTTTTCTAACACTTTTTTATTGAAATTTCTATATGTTATGATTTTTTTAAGTTGTTGATTTACTTCTTTTTTTTTCGTCGTGTGTATTGGGTGTCCGATCTCCTAATAAATAAGTCTAGCATTAAATAAAAAATAAGAAAATTAAACATATAAAAGAAGTTTCATAAACTAAATATTTAAAAATTTTAGTCAAAAAATTCCTAATTTTTAATATGAATTGGATTAATGTTATTGATGTTGGTTAAACTCATGTTGAATATATATAAAACTCATCAATGATATTTTTAAAAATAGACCCATCATCCATTGTCAATGTAACCAATGATATCTGAGAACACTGAAGAGTCAAATCAGTGGTGAATTGAATCTAGGGGCTCCATGTTCACTCCAGAAAACCATTCTGGTAAATTAGTAGGTAGTGTAAGAGTTGGATCAATTCCTGGAATTAAAGAAATAACAAGTTGATTTCTAAATATGCCAACCTTTTTCATTTTACTCTTTAAACATAGATTAATAGTATTCATCTTTTTTAATTTTAAAGTACAGCGAGGGTACCCTTAAACTCTTTCATGGACAGACTGTGTTTTAAACTGAATCGAAAATATAATTATTGAATGGGATGTAAGATCGTCTTCTGAGTTACAATACATTTGCTTAAAAATTATCAATTTTTTATTATTTCTCAATGTTTAAATTTAACATTTGTAGATAAAAACGCAGATAAAAAAAAGCTCATAATTTAGGTTGACATGTTAAATTATATTAATTTAATAATTTGTTCATGTAATTTAAAGAATAATTTTGATGTAAAGATTATAATGTGATGATAGAATATAAATGTATTAAAGTTATAGAGAATATTTTAGAGTTATTAAAATTAATCATTCTCTTCTGACTTTAAAAATGACATTTTTGGTATTTTATTAAAGTTAGTAAAATATCATAAAATAGGGACATGTTTTACTTTTGTTAATACGTTAAGTTTCTGAAAAGTGGGAGCAAAAGATTACGTTCTAAAAAAGATAGAGAAACAACGATTTTTGACAAAAGGAGACATCCTTGTAAGCAATTGTTAGAAAAGAAATGACTTGTTTCTAAAGATTACGTTCTAAAAAAGATAAAGAAACAACGATTTTTGACAGAAGGAGACATCCTTGTAAGAAATTGTTAGAAAAGAAATGCCTTGTTTATCAAAACCAAGAGAGGGGTGAATTGGTGATTACAAAAAACAAATGCTTTTTAAATCTTTTCACAAAATTTGAATGATCTTTAATCTTTTTTGTAATCTAAGCAATAAGCGAATGCAATTTTAAAGTAAAAGAGATAAACAAAGAAGAACAAACACAAGGTTTTTGTCCTGGTTCGGCCTCAATGCCTACATCCAGTTTCCCTTCCAATCAACCTTAGATTGAAGGATCTTTCACTATAATGATTTGAGATTTATGTTAACACTTCGTCAAGTGTACCGAATCGTATCAAGTAATAATAAATGGTAAGACCAAGTATCGTTTCCCAAAGGACTCACGACCTAGACAGTTGTGTGATTTCTTGATTAAATGAGACTTGTAAACAAAATCATTGTGGTTGAATTGCGAAAAATAAACATGAATGCAAGTTTTGATCAATTGAATTGAAAGATGCAAAAGTGATTGATGTAAAATATGGAATGATGATGTTGTTGGGGTTTCCGACTTATCCTATCCACTCTCATGTATTCATGAATTCATCTTTCTTCATTAATGTTAATGCCACTTTCTAATTTACCTTAAACCCGATGTCTCGATGAAGAAAGCCTACTCCTAATCACTAGTTTACAATGTCTTGTCTCCCTAACAATTATTCATGCATTACATTCGCACAGAAGCTTAAAGGAAACCAATCCTCCTATTCCTATGTCTAGGTAATATTGCTTTTGGGAGAATTTCCCCAGTTCTAGATTTCCCCGTATGTGTCCATCAACAAAATCAATAATCATGTAATTGAATGAGTTAAACAAAGCATGCATAGAGTAAAGAGGAAAAAACCTAACAATTAATGAAGTAAAGCAATTCAATACATGAGAGTTTCAAAGGATTACATCGTTTCCCCAACAACAACAGAGGTTTAGTTCACCATAGACATGGTGAAACTAGATGAAAATAATGAAAAGAATGAAAGATAGAACCCTAGAATTTGAAGAAAGGAGCTTCCGCATCCAAAATCCGCCTCAAAGGGGTGAAAAAAGTGTGATTTCGCCTCTTTCTGTCCAAAGATATCAACCCTAGGTTGACTAAACCCTTATATAGTTTATTAAAAATACAGAAAAATGGCCCAAGCCCAATTAAATAGCGCTCAACAGCAGTTTTGGCGCTCAGCGGTAAGTGCGACACTCAGAATGACCCTCAGCGTTGACGCTCAGGCGCGAAACAGTGTACTCAACAGCACAGTCTGGCACTCAGCAGTAGGTGCGATACTTGAATTGGCCCTCAACGTTAGCGCTTAAGCATGAGACAATGTACTCATCAGCTAGATTAGCGCTCAGCGGTGCAAATGGTGCTGAGCGGTGGCAACGATTCTTCTTTTGTCCACTTTTCCTTCCTTTCTTGAGTCCAACTCCTTGCTACTTTAACTTCTTTCATCCAATTCATCTAAATTCCTGTCAAAACAAGGAAAATCAAGCATAAAACCCATCCAACTCTCTTATTTTCAAAACTTAAGTAAAAGCATGATTTCAAGCTAGTTTCTAAGTCATAAAGGTTGTTTTTAAGGTCAAAATTAAGTATAAAAATAACGGTTTTTCAACCGTTATCACAACCCCAAACTTAGAACTTTGCTTGTCCTCAAGCAAACAAGATGTAACTCAGTCTTCCACCAATCAATACAACGGTTCAACACATTCAGAAATTCTTTCTTTCAACACAAGTAATCACTCAAATAAGCTCATCAATTAAAATTCAGTCAAGATGCACACATGCCTTGATTCACAACTACTCATCATGGTGTTCACATAATCACATAATCTCCAACAGATGCTATTCTCATGAATGATCAATTAACTAAGCATAAATGTAATCAAACGCTCATGGAATCATTCCTCACCAGATAAAGTGTTTCACTCAATCACACAAGTGTATATAGAGGTCACTCATTCACTCTACTATCACAATGTCACATGAATCAACTTTGCCTTTCATTTAACCACAATCAAACACATTCACAAGCAAGCATCATCACAAGGACTTTCTATGGCTTATAATGTGGTTGGGCTAAAAAGAAAATTAGTTTTTCTAGAGCACAAAATCCTTGAGATAAGAGAATCATCATTTAAAAACAACCATTCTTACTTATTCCCAACTTTCCTTTGCATTGAGCTTTTCTTTTTCTTTCTTTTTCTTTCCTTTTTCTTTTGCTTTTCACGTGCTTAACACTTGGCTCAATGCTTTTTATTTTTCCTTTTTAGACTTCCCAACAACCCAAACATGAACCTTCATCAATACCACAAGATATTCTCAACTCAACTCAAGGTAAAGATTTTCAAAAAGGGTTTTCACATCCTATTCAAGGCTAAAGGTTCAAAAGATATAACACATCGTGTTCTCTTTTATTTGGCTAAAATCATGCATTTGGCTAAAAAGGGTTACCAACAAATGACCTTGATCATATGACACATACAAGCAAGTGATTCAATGTAAAAGGTGTCAACATCATCCTTGATGATGATATATGGGCCAATGTGGCCATGATGCCTATTCGAGATGACGCTCTTAAAGTGCATCTCGGTGTAGCTGGCTTCAATCAACTTCTCGCTTTTCAATCTTTTCTTAGTGTACCAGATGAGCCCCAGACGGTCCCAGACAAAACACATGGGACATTCAGTAGGACTCGAGCACCCAGACCGGACGATCATGACAGGTAGGTCTGCAGAAGTGATTAAGGTAAAACACCGATTAGAGGGTTGGGCTCTGGATTGGGCCGTGATTAAGGCCCTGTTAATCCTAGGCCCATGACCAAAACTGTGAATACAGGTCAAAGGTAAGAGGTAGGCAAATTTATTAATTATGCATTTATTACCGCGCCTAAAAACTCGATCGGACCTTTACTAACTTAAGCATTAGAGCACCTTTGACAGGTACCCTCCCAGGCGCACAGGACGAACAGACTGTGACCAACGAAAGAGAGGACGGCGAGAAGATCGGACGAACGTAGCGCTAAGCCCACGAATTTAGGTGACTTGACCCCATACAGAAACATTTTGGTGCCCACCGTGGGGCCGAGAAACTAAACCCAATGGTGACCACAAGAAACATGAGCAACAAGGACCCAATTGAGATGATAAGGATGTTACAACAGCAGATGGAAGAGTTGCAGCAACATGAGGTGGAGATGG